TTTTAAGGTAGGAGAGAGTTTATTAATTTTAAGCGCTGATGGGAAGGAGCCAGAAGCAAGAGAGACCTTGGGAGATATACCTCTAAAGAAGGTATGTACAGGGGCCGGCCTGGTAACGCAGCGTTCAGTGCACGCGTTCCGCTTCGGTGGCCTGGGGTTCAAGGGTTCAGATCCCGGGTGTGGACATGGCACCGCTTATCAAGCCATGCTGTGGTAGGCATCCCACATATAAAGTAGAGGAAGATGGGCACAGTTGTTAGCTCAGGGCCAGTCTTCCTCAGCAAAAAGAGGAGGATTGGCAGTAGATGTTAGCTCAGGGCTAATCTTCCTCTAAAAAAAAAAGAAGATATGAGCTAGGTGAGTCTAGATGCATACATTTATAAAAATGATTCTGAAGACATTGCACATGTTGGCTTCTAAGTTCTCTGAAGTAGTTGAGGTCGTCTACTGAGCTTGAGGTGGTGATAGTAACACTAGAAGTTTGGCTCATTCAGCAGATTTTTATTGAGGACTTACTTTATGGAGTTGGTAAATGACGTAATATGATTCCTGCCCTCACTGTGCCTCCTGGTGGGAGAGACAGACCATTAAATAATGTATTATCCAATTATTTAATTATATGTATATATACATATTTTTTTTTTCATGAGGAACATTGGCCCTGAGCTAACATCTGTTGCCAATCTTCCTCTTTTTGCTTGAGGAAGATCGTCGCTGAGCTAACATCTCTGTCAGTCTCCCTCTGTTTTGTATTTGGGACGTTGCCACAGCATGGCTTGATGAGCAGTGTGTAGGTCCACACCCAGAATCCTAACCTGTGAACCCTGGGCTGCTGAAGTGGAGTGCATGAACTCAACCACCACACCACTGGTCTGGCCCCTGTTTAATTATGATATTTAAATAGTGTGAGGAAGATGTACAGGATGCTCTGATAACATAAAAATGAGAAACATGCTCTACAGGCTCAGGAGAGACTTTCTGGAGGAAGAGCTGTTTGAGCTGAGCTCCGAAGACGCATCAGAATTACCTGGGGCTTCAGGTGAAGGGGAGAGCTTGAGTAAATGCTTTGGGGCAGGAGGACGAGGCAGGGATCAGATCACGCAGAGCCTCATAAACCATGTAAAGATTTTAATCTTTTGTGGAAGAGCCATTGGAAACTATATTTCCAAGAATGTTAAGCGAGGGAATGACAAGATCAGAATAGCGCCTTAAAAAGATGTCTGGCTGCTGGGTGATGGCGGATTCAAGTGGCTGATGAGCAGATGTGGGACAGCCATTAGGAGGCTGTTCCAGGAAAGGAGGCAAAAATGGTGTATCTTGGACTAGTGTGGCACCAGTGTCAGTCAAGAATCATAGATCTGAAGGATATTTAGGAGGTAAAATTGGCAGCCTTTGACAACTGTTTGATTATAGGAGTACATGAGAGAAGTAACAAGAAGGCTCCCAGGTGTGAGGACAGAAGAGAATGGAGGACTGAAATTAACAATATGAGGGTCTAAGAAATAGAATTGATAAGGAAAACATAGAATAATTGCTGGAGAGTATGAATGTATGTCATTACTGCTCCAGGATTGTATGGTTTTTCTGTTCTCAGTAGTCCAGATGTTGAAGTAGAGAGGGGCTACTGGACTGCTCTTAGACTGGAAGTTTCCTTGGAAGTGTGATGAAAGGACAATGCATTAGAAATTTGAGGATATTAGGAAAATAGTGGGAGAATTATGGCCATGGAAGTGAAGACATGAAGGGCTGTTAGATAGAAAGAAAGAAAGAAAAGCACATGAGGTCCTTATGATAATAGGTGACGGAGGGATAACTGAGTGACAGATCTAAAAGGATCAGAGGTTGAAATCATAGTGGAAAGTTTGAATTTAATATTTTAGGAGTGAAATAGCTCCTAGTGACGGCAAAGTCTAGGTTTACCCACTAAGTGGTCAAAGTGAAGTAGAAGGGACGGTCACTAGGGGTCAGGAATTCAGGGAAGGAAGAGGCTGGCCTTCTGAAGGGTGGTATTCACATGGATGTTGAGGTTACCCAAGAGGCTGGCAGGACTGAGGTGCAGAGAATGACAAGAGCCAGGTGCTAAGGTCTTAGAGCGGCGGTTCTCGACAGGGACAGTACTGCCCACTGGGGAGAATTATGGACATTTGTACGAGTACTTTTTTAAAATATCAAAATAGCTGAGAGGACCAGGGACATAGACTTGACATCTCTAGGGAGCAAAAATCTGACCTGCACCCCACATCACTTCCAGATGTGTGCTAGACGTTCATGGACTGAATAGATGACTCAAGCTGTGCTGAGGTTTCCAGATAAGAGATCTGCCTTCTGTGACACTGAAGCACTGTCCCATGCCATAGGGAATTATTTTTGTACCACCCTTATGTGCAAAGTACAGGTCATTTGCAGCAGTATTATTTTCTTCAATTTGATGGTCTTGACACGTTATTCCTTTTTCAATGCAGGCTCTTTCCCTCTTTGTTTATCCTATTCCAGTAAGTCTCATCTGTTCCTTCTGTCCAGTTGCTAGTCCTTATTCTGATGTTCACCTGTACCCTTGGGCTTTCATTTTCCTGTCCTTTCTTGTACAGAATGGTTCCTGGTCTTTTTGTTACTTTTAAATCCAAACTTATTTATTATAAATAGGTGCAAACATCTGACATCATTTTCTCTAGTCATGCCCAGGTATTTACATATTGAAATACAAATTGTTTTATTATAAATTATTCTTTTTCATATGTTACAGTTAGGGCATTATTTTAATTGGAGGGAGGAATTATATGTACTAATAAGCTATATTAGCTATGATTCTATTTCAGGATATAAATGAGATGTTATGAAGTATTGATTATAAAAAGGGAGCGTTGAGAACCACTGTCTTAGAGAAGCAGGGGACGGTGTGAGAGAATTGGTACTTTGAAGCAGTGCGAGGACAGGAAAAGGGTGTACTGAGTGACCAGCAGGGGGACAGGTCTTTTTTTCACAAAGTGAGGGGCGTTAGAGCAAGGAAGGCTCAGTCCCCAGCTCCTGCCTGTTCATCTTTGCTCACACTTTCCCTCTGCCCAGCATGCCCACACTGCTCTTCTCTGTCCACTGGTATGTTCTTCATTGTCCAGCCTAAAACCTTATTCGTTTCAAAGCTCAGAAGAGGAAGTTGGCAAGAGAATGACACTCAGATGCCTGGATTCTGTGCTAGGCACTATGTATAAGTTTTCGTTTATTCCTCTCAGGAAGGGAACATAATTACTTTTATTTACTTATTTCATAATTACTTTTAGAATTAGAATGAAGCCTAATCAAGCTCAAATATTTTATTGAGTGTCTCAGTCTGTTCAGGCTGCTATAACAAAATACTGCAGACTGGGAGGCTTATAAACAACAGAAATTTATTTCTCACAGTTCTGGAGCCTGGAAGTCAGAGATGAGGGTGGCAGCATGGTGGGGTGAGGGCCCTCTTCCGGGTCACAGGCTTCTCCTTGCTCAAGTGGCTAGGGAGCTCTGTGAGATCTCTTTTATTTGTTTACTAATGGTTTTGTTTTGTCTTTGCTGAGGAAGATTTTCTCTGAGCTAACATCCACTGCCAGTCTTCCTCTTTTTTTTTTTTTTTTTTTTGTATGTGAGCCACCACCACAGCATGGCCACTAACAGATGAGTGGTGTAGGTCCACACCCTGGAACCGAACCCAGACTGCCAAATCAGAGCACACTGAACTTAACCACTAGGCCACTGGACTGGCCTGAGATCTCTTTTGTAAGAGCACTAATCCCAGTTGTGAAGCTCCACCCCTTTGACCTACTCACCTCCCCAAAGCCAAACCCTCTAATGCCATCACACTGGGCTGTAGCATCCCAGCATGTGACTTTGAAGGGGGGCACACACATTCAGATTGTAGCATCCAGTATCAGCAGATGGGGGAGTCATGAAGATGGGAATGCAGCTCACGGCAGTCTGGCCCCAGGGCTTGTGTTCTGCCCACTGCAAGACACCATCATTAAGGAGACCCTGGTGGCAGAGCTGTGAGAAGCTGGCCATTTGGGGTTTGTGCCCCTCTGACTTTTGATTTCAGACTCATATTTGAAACTGCTCTTTGTTTTTCATCCCCAGTCTCTTAATGATTTAGTCTGACTCTCTCAACCCAGTTTCTTTCTTTGAAAGCAGAGTTCACTTACCATCTTTTTTTTTTTTTTTAAAGATTTTATTTTTTCCTTTTTCTCCCCAAAGCCCCTCCGGTACATAGTTGTATATTCTTCGTTGTGGGTCCTTCTAGTTGTGGTATGTGGGACGCTGCCTCAGCGTGGTTTGATGAGCTGTGCCATGTCCGTGCCCAGGATTCGAACCAACGAAAGACTGGGCCGCCTGCAGCAGAGTGCGCGAACTCAACCACTCGACAACGGGGCCAGCCCCACACTTACCATCTTTTATTCTCCGCCGCATTTACTATATGCCTTGTTCATTATAGGTGTTTGGTATGTATGTGTTGATTGATTTAAATATGTAAGGTCTGTGCAAGTGTTCCAGTGCTTAAGAGAGGGTCTTGACAAATGTAAATGTGCTGGTGGTTTTGCATATTTAAAATGCATAATTAGATTTGCAGCTAAAATAAAATCAAGGTTCCAAGATTTTCTTTTATTAAGATCTAAAAACATTTGAAACTGAAATTATCACTTCCCAGACTGTGCAATTTAATTTTTTAGATGCACGTATTTTTTAAGTTCTTCTGCATACCGTTACTTGGTAATGTGCTCAGATACTCATGAGGTGTTTCATTTAAAACGTAAATGTTTTTAATCTTTTTAATGGAAAGGTGGAGATTTAAAAAGTGAAAAATCAACAAAAGAACTCCACCCTCTCATGGGCAGCTTAACTAGAGAGAACCTCTTTACTTGTGATGCATGTAAAGTTGGATACATGTTTTCAGTCTGTCTTATGGATTCATGTCAATTCCAGAAATATTTATATGGTGTTTTGCTGAGTAATGAGTTTGTATTATCCTGTTTTTTCAGGTCCTGTAGGAGTAGGTTTGAATGAACTGAAACGAAAGCTGCTGATCAGCGACACACAACACTACGGTGTGACAGTGCCCCGTAAGTTTTGTACTATTCGACGCTGTTACGATTGCCCTAATAATGACTGCTAGCACTTACACAGCATGTGTGATGCCTAGCAATGTTCTGAGCATTCACCGTCGAGACCTCAGAACAGCCCTATGAAGGATGTAGTGACATTATCTACGTTTCACCGAGGGGGAAACGGAGACAAAAGAGTTAGGGATTTGCCCTGGATCACACAGATCATTGGCAGGATATCTGTTAATCTCAGCTTCCCTACTCTCAGATTTTTATGGTGAATTTTAATATACATATGACATCAAATTATTATTTATAAGTTTTCTTCTAAATAAAAGTCTATTCTGTTTCGTAAAATAAGTGCCAATGTTTTTCAGAGTTTTTCACCAGCTTTAAGGTTAGAAGGACCATACCACTGAAGGAGCTGGGGGAGGCTTGTTACAGTATAAACCTTTCTTAATTACTTTTTATATGTAGGAATTGGCAGATAGTGTTAAATGGGCCTTTCGTGGCCATATAATCCAAATAGGGGAAGCTTCTTTTCAGTACACAGAATTAGGTCTATTTTTAGAAAAGTAGTTTTCATGGGCATGCTTACAAATGAAATGTGATGCTGGAAGCATTTTGATCTCCAGAATAAATGCCATTTGACTACTTAATATGTTGATGTTAGAAAGTCATCTAAAAGAGTAAATTGAAATGTTGGCTTTTTCAAGTGGTTTTAGTACTATTTAAAAACATCGTTTGTATATTGCCCTTAGCAGTGTTCTCTAGTTTTGGAAGAGTTCAGCTTTATTTTAAAATTATAATTTTCTATTACTTCAAGTTACTCCTTGTTACTACCTTTTTCCAAATCATTGTTTGTAATCATTTTCAACCGTAAGTTATAGGACTGTGCTGGTTTCCACCAACAGAGATGAAAGGAAAGGAAAATGTGGAATTAAACATTTCTTTCTTTCTTTTTTACTTTAATTATTCACTTCTCTTATAAAAGCTGAATTGCAATATACAGGTAATTAGAAAATTTTACAAAAAACTGTTCAGCTTACAGGTGAGCAATTACAAAAGAGGATGGAAAAAACAGATTACAAAGGAAAATAATGCATTTATTGATTTTCTTCTGTGTGTTCATCTTTTATTTGCCTGAAGTTATTTTGTGCTATCATGTATAAGATGGGCACTATCTCTGGTTCACAGAGAAGGAAACGAAGGTAGAAAGAATATTTTGACTTCATCAGAATTCCGTAAGCGATAGCTGCCCTTGCCTTCGGAACCAGGTTTTATGATACCAGTTTTCATGCTCCTCCTCCTGTCTAACACTAGACAAATCCTCTCAAACTGCACATTCTCTTTATTGCAGCCCAGTTGGCCCATCTTCCTTTTGAAGATGATAAATGACTGTCTGTCAAACATAACCCTCCATGATAGGCTTTTTTTTTTCAGATTTTTTTTCCTTTTTGCTAAGAAAGATTAGCCCTGAGCTAACATCTGTTGCCAGTCTTCCCCCTTTTTTTTCTTCCTCAAAGCCCCAATACATAGTTGTGTATCCTCGTTGTAAGTCCTTCTAGTTCTACGTGGGAGGCTGCCACAGCATGGCTTGGTGAGTGGTGTGTAGGTCCACACCCGGGATCTGAACTGGCAAACCCCAGGCCGCTGAAGCAAAGTGCACGAACTTAACCACTATGCCGCTGGGACGGCCTCAATTCATCATAGTTTTGATATTACTCAAGGACCCAGGGCCAGGTACTTTGGGCTTAATTCATCCAACTATTAAAATGATATTTCCCTCTGAAGTTTTTACAGAAATTGACAACATCCAGAAAGTTTCTGGGGCTGGGACTCTCCAAAGAAATTCCCAAAGTAGTAATTTTCCACTCTGATTCACTTTTAAACAGGCGTTCATATCAAAAGATTCCCATATAGCAGTGCTTTCCAGACTTGCTTGATAAAAGGAATCTCTTGGGGTTCTTTGAAAAGATTCCAAGGCCTTCCAGAGAGATTCTCCTTCGGGAGACCTGACAGAATGCCTGAAAATCTGGATTTACAGCTTCATGCGCGTGATTCATCATCAAGCATGTTTGGAAAACACAGCCATAGCATCAACTCTGGACGATTTAATTAATTAAAGAAGAATACATTCTAAGATCAATTTCAGAATTTTAGATTGTTTTCCTTTATAAAATACTTTAGAGTTTTGATTATTGGGAGAAAAATTATTGCTTTGGTTGTATCACCAGTATTCTGCTTGATGTTTAACTCTCTAATTCTCCTTTCTAAAACTTGTACTAAATATCCAGCAGAATGAGTCAGTTGAAAAAGATGTGGAGCAGTGGAACTCTCACACATTCCTGGTGGGAGTGTAAGTTGATGCAACCACTTTGGAAAACTGAGTGGCAATATTTACTAAAGCTGAGCAAACACATACCTTATAACCCAGGGATTCCACCCCCGTACACACCCGACAGAAATGCATATGACATGTACTCAGATATTCTTGGAAGCCTTCATAAGAGCTCAAAACTGGAAACTACTCGAGTGCCCGTGAGTAGCAGATTGGATAAGTCAATGACGGAATACCGCAGTGCGGAACGAACCATCTGTTACTGCACGCAGCAGCACGAACCAACCCCACAACATCATGGTGAGCGAACGGAGGGGGACACGAAAGGGAACATGCAGTATGACTCCATTCTTATACACACAGTAAAAGCGATGCTGATGTCTGCTGTTGAAAATCTTGAGGAAATGGATCGGCAGGGTGATTCTGGAGTGCTGGCGATTTTCTGCTTCTTGCTAGAGTGCTGGGTTACATGGGTGTATTCAATCTGTGACAGTTCGTCAAACTTACACGTGAACTTTTCTGTCTGTATATCATACTTCAGGTTTTTAAATGTTAAAAAGAAATACTGGGTAGTTTAGTTAATTGTGGTTTGCTGATATTGATTTCCTGGTGTCGATATGTGCTATAGTCATGGAAGATGTTACCATTGGAGCAAGCCGATGGTTACACGGGACCTCTCTGTGCTATTTTTGAAACTTCTTGTAAATCTATAATTATTTCAGTTTTTAAAAACTATTAAAAAGGATGCTAAATCAGGTAAATGCTATTGCTCTTGGGCTAAAATGGCTGAACAAATGACATGATCTTTTAAAATTATCCGTATAGCCATATTAAACATTCAAACTTGCTTTTAAAGAAAGTGGTGGCTGGGGCTGGCCTGGTTGCGTAGTGGTTAAGTTCACACATTCTGCTTCAGCAGCCTGGGGTTTGCGAGTTTTGATCCTAGGCATGGACCTACATACTGCTCATCAAGCCATGCCATGGCAGCATCCCACATACGAAATGGAGGAGGATTGGCACAGATGTTAGCTCAGGGCCAATCTTCCTCATCCAAAAAACAAAAAAAGTGGTGGCCAAAGCCCCTGTTTCTGCCTCTTTGCTTCTCTATGGGTAATTTCATCCTTGATACGCAGCATCAACATTGTTTATCATCATAGGCTGCAAGTTGTCATAGGCCATAGGCTATCATCAGTAAAGCTAAATGACTGTTAACATAACCAGTCTTTCAAAAGAAGCTCTCAGTAAATTTAAGTAGTAAACAAAAAGTATTGCAGAAGATACCAAATACCTAATGGATTCCGAAATCTTTGCAGTCTGGAATTTGGGCACTCGGTGAACCCCAGCTGTTAATCACTTTCTGTGGTTTCTCATGAACGCATATATCACAGTTATGTGCTTTCATAGATTTCGGAGTACTCATGTTCTAGAACACTTCTTTGTCCCTGGGATGCCTCAGTTGAGATTTCTAAAAATATACATACGGTCAGGCGTTGCTTAACAATCAGGATACAGTCTGAGAAATGTGTGGTTAGGCGATTTCATCGCTGTGTGAACATCGTAGAGTGCACTTACACAAACCTGGATGGTATAGCCTCCTACACACCTAGGCTGTGTGGTACTAATCTGATGGGACCACCAGTATATCTGCGGTCTGTCATTGACTAAAATGTTGTAAACTAGGGTCCAAGTTAAAAAATTTTTTTCCTATCTCACCATGGCGGTTATTCTGGGATTTTGCAAGGGAAGGGAAAGAGGGTAGAGTTTGTCTCGTATTGTCTGATGTTTGTCTTACGCTGTGAACACAGTGGGTACTCAGTGAACTAAGGCGAGGTAGTGGCCTGCATTGTGGTTAGTGTGCCCATCTTTCCCTTTGAATTCCCTTCTCATGAGGATTTTCAGATCCCTTATTCAGGATTCCTCACCGTTAATGAGTTTGTGAGATTCCTGTGGTACCTCATTGCAAGTAGACACTAAAATCAGTAAAATGACGTCAGACCTGGATAAGTCTGGTTGATCATGATAAGCAAACAATTCGATTGTAGACATGTTACCTTTTAAATGTGTTTGGTAGCATCATAAATGTCTTGTTCACTTGACATGGTTCTAAATATCTTTAACCCTCCCAAGTGGACTCCATGTGTCAGAGCAGTGATCCTTAAAGTGTTGTTCCAAATTTTCAAAGGGTTCTGCCATTACAATTGAGTAAAGACAACCTTTTCTCAGTTCATGAGAAACAAGTTAATACACATAAAATTCTCAGTTTTGATTTGCAGCAATACGTTTTTCTTAAGTCTACTATTTGCTAAAAGAACACCAAAAAACAACAACAAAGTTAAGTGATAAATGAATGTTAATCCTAAACTCCAAAGCAAGGCAGCACACTAATTTAATATTCTTGGATGCATGTTATGTTATATACACTTTCATATTCATATTCTTGGATGCATGCATATACACTTAGGTCTATTTTTCTGCTGTGAAATTCATTCTTAGCTTTTATGGTAGAATTAAATTTATCAGTACTTCATGCTGTTCCTGCAAAGGATGTGACATTCCATAAACGACAGCATGACCTCTTGGTGCTCCACCCATAGAAGTATGAAAAACTGTTCCAGGAGATCCGAATGTTGTATTAAAATATGTTTGCTACCTAAAGAGAAGGGAATTAAAATTTTGGATATAATTTAAATTAATTGGGTTTTATAAATCCATTACTTTTTGTATTGCATTACTTTTTTCCCACTTTCCATATTTTTCTTTTTATAACATTATTGAAATATAATTGAAATAAACTACACATATTTAAAATGTACAATTAGATCAGTTTTAACATATATATACACAAGTGAAAACACCACAGTCAACATAATGAATATTTCCATCTCCTCAGAAAATTTTCTCTTGTGCCCTTGGTAATCCATCCATTCACCCCTGTCCCCAAGCAACCACTAATCTGCATTTTGTCACTATAGATTAGTTTGAATCATGTGGCATTTTGTGTAAATAGAATTGCACATTATGTTCCAAATTATCTTTTGCCTGCCTTTTTTGACTCAGCATGATGAGTTTGAAATTCACTCATGTTGTTTCACAGATCAATAATTCATCCCTTTTCATTGCTGAGTAGTATTCCGTTGTATGGAAATACTACAGTTTGTTTATCCATCCATTTCCCTGGAGATGGATACCTGGGGGATTTTCCTCCATTTTTGACTACTACAAATGAAGCTACTATGAAGTTTGTATTCAACTCCTTTGATAGACATCTATTTTTGTTTCTCTTGGGTAAATTAAGTAGCAGTAGAATCACTGGGTCATATGATTGGTTTGTATTTAATTTTTTAAGAAACTACCAAACTGTTTTCAAAAGTAGTTACACCATTTTACAGCCCACTAGCAGTGTGTGTAAGATCCAGTTGCTACACAGCATTGCCAACACTTGGTATAGTCAGTTTGTAAAATTTTTCTCAGTGTAATATGTGTCTAGGGGTATCTCATTGTACTTCAGTGTGTATGTAATTGATGACTAATGATGCCATTCTGTGGACTCAGCCATTTATATATCTTCTTTGGTGAACTGTCTATTCAAATCTTTTGCTGATTTTTAAAAATTAGGTTGTCTCATTTTTGAGTTTTGAGAGTTCTTTACGTATTCTGGACGTGCATCCTTTATCTGATAATTGTGTTACAAATATTTTCTTCCAGTGTGGCTTGCCTTTTCACTTTCTTAATGGTGTCTTTCAAAAAGCAAACATTTTTAATTTTAACAGAATCTAGTTTATCAGGTTTTTCTTTTATGTTTTGTGCTTTTTTGTGTTCTATCTAAAAATCCTGTACTATCTCAAGATGACAAAGAGACTCTAGTTTTATCTGGAAATTTTCTAGTTTTAGGTTTTGCATTTGGGTCTTGATCCATTTCGATTTATTTTTTGTGATATTATTTGGCAGACTTGCCTCATTCCTGTTCTCAGGGGAAAACAAGTCCATCTTTTACTATGAACTATGATGTTTCCTCATTGATGCCCTTTATTAGTTTGGGGCATTCCCTGTGATTCCTAATTTGCTGAGACTTTTTTTTTTTTCATAAATGGGTGTTGAATTTTTTTCTTCTGCTTTTTCCTCATCTATTGAAGTGATCGTGTGTCATCCTGCATTCTGTTAATGTGGTGAATTCTATTGATTTTCAAACATTAGGCCAACCTTTTATTCCTGAGATAAATTCTACTTGGTTGTGATATAGTATGTTTTTAAAAAGTGTTGTTGAATTTGACTTGCTAATATTTTTGTTAAGGACTTTTCCATCTAAATTTATGGTGGATATTGTTGTGTAATTTTCTTCTTTTCTAGTCTTGGTCAGATTTGGTTATTAGGGTTGTACTATTATCATAAAGTGAGTAAAGCAGTGATTCTCCTATTTGCAGAAAATGTTTATGTAGATTAGTGTTATTTCATCATTGAAGTCTCTTTTATCTGAATTAAAGTAGCCACTTCAAGCCACCTTATGCTTACTGTTTACATGGTATATTGTCTCCCATCTGTTTACTTTCAACTAATCTATGTCTTTATATTTAATGTGTCTTTCTTGTAGACCTGTAGACAGCATGTACTAGTGTCTGGCTTTTTTTACCCATTCTATCGATCTCTGCCTTTAATTGGAGTATATAGACCACAAACATTTATTGAATTATGGAAATGATTGAATTTAAGCTATTTTTGATTCTCTGTTTATCCTTTTTGTTTTTTTTCCTTTTCTACCTTTTTAAAACAATTATTTGAATTTTTTTTGTATTCCATTTTCATTTTTCCTCTTGGCTGTCTCCTTATATCTCTTTGCATTACTTTTTTGCTGGTTGCTGTATGGTTTACAATATCCATATATCTAATCATTCACAGTACTTAAAATTGACTGTGCCATTTCCCATAAAGTACAGAAAACTTGCAATCTTATAAGTCCTTTTACTCCCTAGTCCTATCTTTTTCTTGTAGTTGTTAAAATTATATCGTACATTGAAAACTCCACCAGATACTATAACTTTTACTTTAAAACAGTCATATATATTTTAAAGAACTTAAGAGGAAAACACTAGACTTCTATATGTACTCAACTATTTATTCTTTCTGTTGCTCCTTCTTCATTTCTGAAGATATAAGTTTCCTTCTTATCATTTCCTTTCAGCCTAAGAAGTTCCTTGAGTATTTCTTTTAGAACAGATCTGCTGATGAATTCTGTTAGTTTCTCTTCATCTGAAAAGGTCTTTATTTTGCCTGTATTCCTGAAGAATATTTTGGTTGCTAGGTTCCTTTCTTTCAGTACTTTAAAGATATTATTTCACAGATTTCTTGTTTTTATGATTTTTAATAAGAAATCTTTATCACTGAAATCATTATTCCCTTGTCTGTTTTGTGTTGTTTTTTTCTAGATGCTTTCAAGATTTTTTTCTTTATTTTTGGTGTTTAGTGGTTTGGTTATGATGTACTAGGCATGGTTTTCCTTGAATTTACTCTGGGATTTAAGCTTTAAAATCTGTAAAATATATGTCTTTAACCAAATTTTAGCAGTTTTGGGCCATTATTTCTTCAAATACATTTTTTTCTGCCTCAGTCTCTTCTTCCTCTCCTAGGATCCCAATTACACATTTGTTGGACATTTCAGTCATTTCACACAGGTCCCTAGGGCTCCATTTCTATTTTTTTAATCTTTTTTCTCCTTGTTGCTCAGATTGTATAATTTCTATTGATCATCTTCATGCAGATACTGAGCTCATCTTGCGATTTGTTTCTGTTAGATCTTGTATGTTTCAGTTCTAAAGTTTCCATTTTGTTTTCTTTACAGTTTCTATTTATCTGCTAGGAATTCATGTTTTCATCCATTTGAGCTGTTTTCCTTTACCTGTGAAGCACAGCTGTAACATTTGCTTAAGTCTTTGTCTGATGGTTCTAACTTCTGTTCTGGGTCATTCAGGGTTGCCATCTGTTATCTTTATCCTTGAGAATTGGTCATATTTTCTTGTTTTTTTAATGTCGAATAATTTTAAATTGCATTCTAGATATTGTGAATGCGATGTAGTATTAACTCCAGGTCCTGTTAGAATATTCTGGAGAACGTTGATGTTTTTATTTTATCTAGAAATCGCCCAGTTTACTTGTAGACCGGAAGTTCTACCTCGTTTGCTGTGAGCTGTGGTTAAGTCGCACTTCAGTTCTCTAAACGTTTGCTCTATCTGCCCTGTCCAGACCCAAACACTTGCGGGGTCCCGTGTAATTCGGGGATTAGTCTGACACTTGCGTGCATGGTCCCGACCTCAGCTCAGTTCTCTAAGCCTTTTCTCATTGGCTGGGTGTGCTCTTTACTCTGTTACTCAGGGGTTAGAGAGCTGTGCATTCTACCCTCGGTTCGCTTCTTGAAACCTTTGCTCTGCTGGTTTGAGTTTGAGCTGCATGTGCAGAGCTCAGAGGTTCTTCTTAGCCTGGTGTTGGTTCATCCACAGATACTGTATTTTCTTCTCCAGCTTCTCTCCCTTCCTGGATTCGCTCCACACTCTCCGAACCGCAGGGGCTTTTTTTTTTCCTGGTTCTTTTCACCAAAAAGTGGGGGCTTCTATTAGAGTTTATTCACACATTCCACCCTGCTGCTCTGTGAATGCTTCCCAGCCTTAGGGCAAAGCTAAGGGAAGATCAAAGTTAGTCTTCCCCATGCAAGTTGACGCCCCTTGACAGTTTACCTCCTCCATTAATTTTCAGAGTGCTCAGATAGTTGCGTGTGGAAGACGGTAAAATAATTTCAGAGTTTACCTTGCCACCTAGTGGGCACTAGACCTGCTTCAATGAGTAAAGATCAGTAAACAGCAATAATAAGCATATTACTTGCAAAAGAAAGGATTTTTTCCTCAAGGGTTTAAATACCGTTTTTATTTAATTAACACATTAGAGAGCCTTCAAAACAATGAATAATAGGGCCAGCCCCAGTGGCCTAGTGGTTAAGTTCACCATGCTCCACCTCTGTGGCCCAGGTTCAGTTCCTGGGCACAGACCTATACCACTCGTCTGTCAGTGGCCATGCTGTTGCAATGGCTCACATACAAAAAGAGGAAGATTGGCAACAGATGTTAGCTAAGGGTGAATCTTCCTCAGCAAAAAAATAAAATAATAATCATAATAGTACAGACTATTTTGAATCCATCTTCAAATCAGTATAATTTTAATATCGATGGAAAACCTGAATTAATGACACTTTATTAGCTAATTTGCTTTTTTATAGTTTTTTAAATCTTGTTTAAGAAAAGTAATTAAATACACAGTGATTTCTTTTTTAGTATTTTCCTTAGGGTGGCTGATGGAAACTCTTTTTCTAAACTCTTCTTAATTACATCACAGACACTACGAGAGCAAGAAGAAGCCAGGAGAGCGATGGTGTTGAATACATTTTCATTTCCAAGCATTTGTTTGAGACAGATGTCCAAAATAACAAGTATGTGGAAGTTTTTAAGAATATTTGTGTGACTGTTGTTTTTTAAGCATGTGCCTATATGTGCAGTGTTAGACAATTAAGGGTTCTCTTCCATTTGAAATGTATTCCCAATGTTTATACTTATATTTGAAACTGATAAAAAGGTGGTAATTCCATTAATAGTTATCAATCTTCACCTGTCATTTTTAAATAACCTACAGCGGCTGCATTTTGGATAAGTTCAACGTGTAGGAATTATTTTGAAGAATGAAGGGAGGTTGCTAGTATATTATTGTGACCCCTTTCTACCCCACTTAGTGAATCTCAACATATAATTTGGACAGAATTTTATTTTGAAAGCTAACAGCTCACAGATCTCTAGTTCCACAGCCTCCTCCACACATGCTTCTCTCTCACTCATTGACTCTTCAGAACACTGAAATAATATTAATCGTCTTGCTCATACCCTGTCCTCTCACTAACTCCAAGTCCCCTGCCCCCAGGTTTTCCATTTCCTTAAGCATGAATACTGTAGGGTATCAGAGAGCAGGGTGTGTTTTAATGCAGGATTGTGGGATTTTATTGAAACATCAAAATGCTTTTTTTGTGTTTGGCACAGCAATCGTGTTTTTATAGCACATACTTGGTTCCATTAGCCACCAACCAGTTCCTCTCTCGTTCTGAAGCTGAGCTTGGTTATTCTGTAGTGTGCGGTGAAAATTTCAGTAGTTTCTATTGTTCGGCTTATTCGCCGTTTTATTGCATTGCATTAGTTCTAAAAAAGAGGTCATGGAAAACATTAGACTACTGCTGGCCTGAAGGACTTTTTTCTCCCGAAGTGTAATACAAGCAAGTGTTACTGATTTGAAAATGTAAAAGAGAAGATTTTTTAAAATTGACATTCTGGAGTACTTGGCCCTATTTATTTTATTAAACACAGTAAAATACACATTCAGCAAAAACAGCTTTTACCTATGAATTATGTCTTGCCACCAATATACTTTTTAGTTCACAAATGATTCTGATGCATGTCTAATTTTCTACAGGTTTATTGAATATGGTGAATATAAAAACAACTACTACGGCACAAGTATAGACTCGGTTCGGTCTGTCCTGGCGAAAAACAAAGTTTGTTTGTTGGATGTTCAGCCTCATGTAAGTAAACAGTGAACCATTTAACACCCTTCTGGCCCGTGTAACCCACTTCGCTTCATGTGAGCATTTCAACAGAAGGTAAATCTGACGTCTACTCACTTTTGGCTTATATATGGCTTTTCCAAGATGGCAAAAAGCATTTAAATGTAATTTGAGCAGTCTGGTGAAAAAACGCATATTATTAGAAAAGAGAAGTAGGGGAGGCCTCCAGATCTGTGTTTGTAACTCTTGTTTATATTCAGTTTTTGCCAAGTATAATGACTCTTAGATATTTCTTCAGTGTATTTTGTATTTAAAAAAATACGTTACAGGGGCCGGCCCCGTGCCCAAGTGGTTAAGTTTGCACACTCTGCCTTGGCGGCCCAGGGTTCACGAGTTCAGATCTTGGCCGGACCTACATACTGCTCATCAAGCCATTCTGTGGCAGCATCCCACAAAGTGGAACTAGAATGACTTGCAACTAGGATATACAGTTTGTACTAGGGCTTTGGGGAGAAAAAGAGGAAGATGGGCCCTGAGCTAACATCTGTTGCCAATCTTCCTCACCAAAAAATAAAAAGTTACATTATATGTATAATGTATTATGTGTTGTTTATTATTATGAGTATTTAGAATATTTAACAGTGGACATTTTGGTTGTTGGTCTTCTGTCTTTGATTCTGGTTCTGTATCGATCCTGGAAGTGTAGACCCCCCATCTAGAGCTGTGGGGCACTTCACAGGAAGCATCCCACATGCGATCCTTTTTGCAGCTCGCGGGTAGATCTTTGCCTGGCACCCTGGGAACACATGAACACTGTGAACTGAGAATGCCAGTGGATGAAGCCATGCAGTTCCTTCACAGCCACATATCCTCCAGCAGACAACCAACCCGTGGCATTTTCCTTGTTACCCAGGGGCCACAGATTCTCCCTCCACTGATGGTTACACGCTGGGCTGCACAACCTCCAAGAGCCAGAATGACCTGGAGAAGCCCTCCATTCCTCTTAAGGGAGATGAATCTGGAGCAGAAGAGTCCCAGGAATCACTGGGGCGGCTGACTCCTAACTTCAGCACCAGTGATGAAAGGGGCACCCCTGCTGATGCAGAACCTGTGTGCGCGTGTCCTGGGTCTAGTTCCCAGCTCTCTCAGCGTGGTTTCAACTCTGCGTTTGCAGGGCCTCACCAGCTCCTCTGTCGCCTGTCACCACCACCACCACCTCCCTCTCATGCACACACATAACCTGTCTGCTGAACCTTTCATGGAGTTTATGATTTATATTCATGTTCTGGAGAGGTCCTGACACACAGATTAAGACTATCCCCTAACTCTCACCGTTCATCAATCACCTTGATTATAGATGAGTCCCAGAAGCATAGTGTAAATAACATAAAATATTTCCTGGGGGAATGTTGACGAGCTCCATGGAAAGCAGGAGGCCTGTCCTTTTAGGACACTCTGAAGGGTGGAAAGAAAGAGAAAGAGGAGGCGAACTCATGCTGGAGATCAGGAAGAGGCTTAAATGGGATGGTTGGAAGACTCATGTGCAGAATGTGATTTAACTCGTAGTATCCTTTGAATATTTGATTTAAAAATCAATTTCATGGTATTTTTAGCTGCTTCAGTTCAATATTAATTAGGGCATATTTTAAAACATTTTTAAAGGCAAGTTACATCCTCTCGCTTCTTTTCAGGGGTATTTATCATATTTAACTGTCAACAACTGATTGAATAATAATATATTGAAAGACCTACTGCCCTTAATTAGAAAATAATTTTAAGGAATTTCTCCTTAGAAAGAAAATTCAGTTTTATTATAAAGCTCACTCATGACATGATGAAGAAACATAAGAAAACTTATTTTCTTTCTTGCAGACAGTGAAGCATTTAAGGACGCTGGAATTTAAGCCGTATGTGATATTTATAAAGCCCCCATCAATAGAGCGTTTGAGGGAGACAAGAAAAAATGCAAAGATTATTTCAAGCAGAGATGACCAAGGTGCTGCCAAGCCCTTTACAGTAAGTACGAAGGTGCTCGGTGAGGAGACAGAAGCAGAACTTAAACTCATACCGCAGTAGTGACCACCTTAGAAAGACTAGTATATATATGCCGTGATCCAAAAACCAGTAAAAGAATTGTATTTAGGTACATACATTTTGAATGATTGCATTGTAATTGCTTTTCGTGCTTCTGTGGGTGGAGCTTTATATTACATTGACTCAAACTATTTTGTATGCTGTTATGCATACTTAAAAAATTTCTGTAGGCCAAGCATTTAGATAAAAGCTAGACCACTTTGTTTTCAGACTAGCCTTATTTCTAAAGGGAAAAATACCAAAGTCAGTGACTGTTATTCATTAGTAGTCTAAATGAAAAAGTTAATAATTTGCCTTTTTCGTCTCTGCATCAATAATCATATTTAGCATAATAAAAGAAAAAGCACCATTTTAGGTATAGGACAAGTAGACTTGTATTATTATTCAGTAATAGTATTTGTGTTTCCTGTGAGTGTTATTGGAAATGGCAGCTGTGGTATGTTAATGACTCTAATGACTTCCGGCAAGGCCTCTCCTTGTTTTTTGTTTTTAACCCTAAGATAATGTATTTACTTCAGGATCAAAAGTAAAAAGCAAAGAAATTAAATGTCAAGAGCTTCCTCCTCTCTTAAGTAATTCATATTTAACCTTTGTATTAATTTGTAAACTGTTAATTGTGGTTGCAAAATACAGATGATGTTTTTCATTCCCAATATTTGATAAACACCTTTTCTCTAAAATACTGACAATACATGTCCATGCTGGGTAGGTACTGTCTGATGTTGGTTCCTCGGGGCTCTGGGTCGACACTAAAGTTTCTGTCGTTGTAAAATCTTCTGACATGGAAATGTAGGCTCTGAAATTACTTCAGTATGTTGCAGTGTAAGGAGTTATTGTACTTAACTATTTATAAATTTAAAGGTTTCTCGATAAAAGTAATAAATGATTACATTGTCTTAGGATTTGGCTCACTTACATTTATGGATATAGTTATATAGACTTGAGTCATATAATCAACTAAACAGTTCTCCTCTTTCCCGTAGCTATTTTAATACTGAAATATCCCTATATTGATAAGTTATCAATTCAGGACTAATTATTCTGAAATTAAGGTATGGTGGGATTTTTGACTCTTGTCAGAGCAGTTTCGTTACAAGCAAATCAGAGAGATAGTATTAGAAATTATGACTTCTGAAGAACTTGGAGTTCAAGAGGGTGATTTTTCATTTCTGGCTGGGGTGAAAGAAGGAACATAGAACAGCATTGGATAAACCGGTTGTGGAATGTTGGCACTCATGTGAAGTGATGTAATTGCCTAGCTAACAATTTTTTTTTAAAACTTCCTTTTGTAGGAAGAAGACTTTCAAGAAATGATTAAATCTGCACAGATAATGGAAAGTCAATATGGTCATCTTTTTGACAAAATTATAGTAAATGATGATCTCACTGTGGCATTCAATGAGCTAAAAACAACTTTTGACAAATTGGAGACAGACACCCATTGGGTTCCAGTGAGCTGGTTACATTCATAACTAAGGGAAATTCCCATAATCATTTTTCTTTTGGTAGAGTGCATGATTAAATCAGTTACCGTTTTGGTGGGAGGGTGTTTTAGTCTATATCACTGCTATAGATGTGCAATCTTGGTTAAAACTGATTGTTGGTTTTGTTTGTGTATTTTTACAGCTTTATTTCAAACACAATGTTTGAGTATAAGATCCCAAATCAAAATTTGCAGAGTACTATATTCTGAGCAAAGCTTTGAACCTTCTGGTTGTCTTTAATATACAGCTCTAGCTCCGAGATAAGGTTGAACTTTTTAGAGAGGCGTAGCTAGAGGATATATATTGGAGTTCAGCGCTTCAGCTGGACTCAGACATGGTCACTGCCATCAGGCTCGCATGTTAGCAGGAGAAGGTGTTAACTTGGCTGCCTTGAGCAGCTCCAGACAGAGGGGACAGCTTTGCTGTTTTTTTTGGTGGGTCATCATAGGTTCACCTGGGCTGGCAATAAGGAGGAGTCTTCCTACTATTCTAAAAGTACAACCTTTTTCTTACATATACACAATGTATTCACAGTGTGTACATTTAAAAATCTTAAAGGAATTACTGAAAATTTTCCTTAGTGACTGGTCTTCATGTTATAGCTTGAGAAGGCCATATGAATACATATAATGACTCAACAAATTTTAAACGTCTATCTTCCCTTATTAAATATTATTATACATATAACTAAAAACCTTTCCTTACAGCATTAACCTTAGTAAGAATGATGATATCTTGGGGCAAGTAATAATTACGAAAGATATTTTTATTTGTAAATCTTCAGACAACATTTATGGAGTCACCAAAAGGGTTTTTTTTTTAGCTGACTTTGGCTTTTCCCCATAAATTATAAGAATGTGATTCCTATTCTAAAAGTAAATGTTTTACATGTTACTGATATATACGTTAAATAAAATGTGATCATTTGTCACATATGTGCAATTGATCACCATATATTGAAATTTCACTAACATGTATTTTAGAAAACTTTCCATGTAATGTTAATTTATTTCTTCATCATCAAAAGAATTCTTAACACTGGCTAGATACCATCCTAATCTTCCCATTTTTAAGGAATTTTAAGAAAGACTCTTATATTGTAGATATTTAGATGGGATCTCTCATTTTACTTAGATACTACTGATCTTCAGCAAGTAACTTATATCGCTCAAAATGCTAGAAATGTCCTGCCATTCTTGCACGCGGTAAGACCCTGCCAATCCGAAGTCATTGCATCTGTGACTTTCAAACAGAAAAAAAAGACTTTTTGTTGATTTGTAAAGAAAGTTTAGATGTCATGTTTAAAAAAAAAATAGAATGTAGTAAAATTTTATATATTTATGAAATATTTGAAAGGCATATTTTTTTAATTATCAAATGGGGCTATTCATAAGATAAACTGATTGTATGTAAAGATGTCCTAATTTAAAATAGTAGTTTTATAAGTCAGGGTCAACATTCCATGTAAATATTTGACCTTATTTGTACACAGATAGATCCGCACGTGTTATATGTGCACTGCACATTTGATAGCATTATCCACTGGATTTCCTTCAGACCTGTCAAATTTCATGTTAGAAACAGAGACAGAGACTACTGGACTGGCCTTGAACACCAAAATAGCTAGATAATTGATCAGACTAAATGTTACTTAACAACATCATCCAAACAGTGAGTTCCAAGTTTATTAGCTAAATAGCAAGCAATTTAGTTAAAAAAAAAAAAAGTGGGGAAGAGGGCTTCCAAATCTGATATAAAGCCATCCTTTAACGTTGTGTGGCCGGTCTAAGAAAAGACAAGTCTTCCATACAGAGTTTGGGTAGAATATTCTCCTCTTGAACATTGACTAAAATTTCCCATAAATCAAGATTTCCTTTACAAAGAGTAATGGGAAATGTATAATAATTTAGGCAATCATCTGAATAATTTAGGCAGCCCACATTCTTTGTTCTGAAACACCTACATCGATTTTTTTTTAATTTGCAGATAATTGCCTGAATTCTTTACTATGGGGTAGAGATAATAGTGGAAGGCAATGGAAACTGAGTCCTTTGTGTTGGTCGTGGTAACGGGGGTAATAAAAAGATAACTGTCCAGACCTTTCTCCCTTTTTACATTAGAGCTGAACAATATTCTTAAAATAAAAGGGGCACTTTGGCAATTTGAGAAATCTTTTTTCAGGTAGCAAACATGGTCTGCAAGTGACATTTACATGGCCATCTTGATGCTTAGCGATTTGGTTAAAATTTAATAAGGCAGGGCCAACTCCAAGGGCCTGTTGGTCACTGTAGCAAAAGGCCCTTGATTCTGTACTTTCTGCACCCCCAACCAGCAAGGAGACTCGCACATGCTCCCCTCACTCTACTAGTTCTTTCACCAGCTGGCACCCAAGACAGAGTGTCAGCCACTATTGAGAAAAGACGAATGTTTACATTTTTTAGGTCCATATATTTAAAATCCAAGATCAAGAAGGAAATTCTATATTCCCATGATTAACAAATTAGAGTAGGTTAAAAATAAGGTGAAGTTGAAATCTAATTTTTTACTATTATTTTACTTACCAATATAGATGTTCTTGATATCCTTAAGGCTGGCATTCCTGGTATCACGTAGTGATTGAATGTATCCAAACTGTAATAATTTAAAGTTGACAAATGTGTAAACTTCTCAGATCTACAAAACTATGTTATTAAAAGCTTCCTGAAGATATAGATTTTTATTATTTATTTTCTTTTTGACTAGTAAGGATTTATAAATAAATGTAATGGAAAACCTTTGATCTTAATAAAGTATCTTCAAATTATGTGTGTACTTTCTTGAAAATTGTTTTTGCACTTGGGTATCTTTTATACTGTTTCCTGTGGTGGAACAAATTCTGTTTTCTTCTGTGATACCTAGTATTTGAACTTGCCATGTCTAAAATTAAATTTCATATCGATTTCAATCAAACATTTATTGGCTTCCAGTTAGCTTGTTGGAGAGATGGAATTCACTAGTCTTGCTCTTACCCATACAGTGCAGACGTTTACAGATGTAGAGAAACCCAGTGGGATGGATGATCTGGGCCCATCCATGATGGGAGCGCCCTTCCCCCGCTCCTCCCCGTCAGGAATCAGAGTGTTATGCACATCCTCTTCAATAACAGTTGGGCAAAGCTAAACTTGTTCTGCTGTACATATGAGGACAAACTGCCACCTGCTTATACAGACAAGCTAATTAGTACTGGCCTTGCTTTAATAGTTGAGCCAATTAGCCTCAGCTCTGCTTCCACTGAAAGGCTGCACCGGGTAGCTGTTAGGAGCTTGGGGTCTGGAGCCAGAATTCTTGAGTTCAGATTCTGGTTTTGCCTATTACCAGCTTTGCAACCTTGAGAAAGTCATTTAATCTCGCTCGTCCTTATTTTCTCATCAGAAAAATGGAGATAATAATAGTGCTAAATAGCGTGATATTTAGGACTTGCTTCAGAATTCTCCAGCCATGAAAAAAAAAAGGAATCAATGATGCGAAAATAATAATAGTGCTTACCTCATCGGATTATCGTGGGCATGAAATGAAAGACTTTTCCATGTAAAGTACTTGGAACAAAACCTGGAATACAAGTATCTAATAATTGAGCTCCTGTTTTGTAATGATCATTGTCACATCAGAATTTTTAAAAAACTATATAAAGATTCCTACTCTCACCCTAAATAAATAGTCCCTCTATTAATAAATTCACTGGGAGTGTCCTAATAATTTCTTACAAACTTTATTATTAAAAAAAAAATTCCATTACTTCCAAGTGATACATCAGGACCTAATTAAATAATCCTCAATAGGAATTTTTTTATTTTTAAGATTTTTTATTTTTAAAACTATTTGAAAAATTTTTATTAGCCACTGTTATGCAATGTAATTGATATCAATTTAACAGAAATGTCCATTAATTGTATTAATGCCCTTTCTTCTGCTACCACCCTTCCTTTCCAGATGCTTGCTCATTACACTTAAGCTTCTAGAGGGCAGGAAACATTCTATTTTCTAACAGCTATCTTATACACATACACCTACAGAGGCCTAAAGACTGCCAGACCAAATTGTACTTATTAATCATCAGTGATGAATCCTCACAACTACCTTACGTGGAAGACAGGATCTTCCTATTTTACAGTTGAGAAAACAGAGGCGGGGCTTAACTACCTTGCCGAAGGTGACAGAGTGATGCGTAGTGGAGTCAGCGTTTGACTCATGGCCTGGCTGCCTCCAACTCCATGCTATTTTCACTGCAGTGTGCTTCCTGGTGATGCTGTAACTTGAGCTAAAGCTGGAAACAGGTGAGATTGGTAATTAGGAGAGTGATTGTTCATCCTTTTTATGCATATGCAGTTTACAAAGCGTTTTCTCAGAACACTGTTGCTTAATCAGGCATAACTTGATGTCTCTATGCCTGTATGAGTGGGTCAACCTTCATACAGCGGCTACTATCAGAGCATACAAAAACTTATATAGCATAATATGTGATTTTCTGTTTAGTCTCCCTGAGTCCCAGTCCTTAGTGATGAACCATGATTGGTCTAAGTCGGTCATGACAGTCTCTGCGGGGATTGATCTGAGCTGGTCATGCTGCTCCAATTCCAGGTAACGTCTGTTGGAGGAGCTATGAGTAAGAGTTGTTTCCCTGATTTAAACAACTGCATGAGGTAAAAATCTTTGATGCCCCTGCCCCCATCCTTCCTGTTTGAGATGCTTGAATTACATGGTGCTGCTTACCAATATGACAGCCATAATCCTACCCTAAACCAGAGGGTGATAAAGGCCAATCTATGGAGGATGACCAAGAAGAGGAAGATTTTAGTCCATAAAATCATTGAACTGCTGAACCAATCCTAGGACCTCCTTCTAATTGCTGAATAAACAGTAAATGTTCTTATGCACTATTGGTGGGAATGTAAATTAGTGCAGCCACTATGGAAAACAGTATGGAGGGTCCTCAAAAAATTAAAAATAGAACTACCAGGACTGGCCCGGTGGCGTAGCAGTTAAGTACACACACTCTGCTTCGGCACCCTGGGGTTCACTGGTTCAGTTCCTGGGCACGGACCTAGCACCGCTTATCAAGCCATGCTATGGCAGGCATCCCACATATAAAATAGAGGAAGGTGGGCACAGATGTTAGCTCAGGGACAGTCTTCCTCAGCAAAAAGAGGAGTATTGGCAGTGGATGTTAGCTCAGGGCCAAACCTCAAAAAAAAAAAAAAAAAAATAGAACTACCATATGATCCAGCAATTCCACATCTGGGCATATATCTGAAATGAAATCACTATCTCAAAGAGATATCTGTACCCCATGTTCACTGCAACATCATTCACAATAGCCAAGACAAGGAAACAACATGTGTCCACCAACATGAATGGATAAAGAATGGAGATATAGATATATAGAGATACAAGAATATTATTTAGCCATCAAAAGAGGAAATTCTCCCTTTTGTGACAATATGGATGGACCTTCAGGGCATTATGCTAAGTGAAATAAGTCGGAGAAAGACAAATAAGTTCTCACTTATATGGAATCTAAAAAAGCTGAACTCCTAGAAATAGAAGGTAGAATGGTAGTTGCCAGGGGGTGGGGGAAATGGGGAGATGTTGATCAAAGGGTACAAACTTCCAGCTATACGATAAGTTTCTGGGGATCTAATGTCCAGCGTGGTGACTGTGGCCAACAGTACTCTATTATATACTTGAAAGTTGCTCAGAGAGTAGATCTTCAACGTTATCACCACACAGGAAAAGGTAATTATGTGAGGCGATGGAGGTGTTCACCAACATTGTGGTAATCATTTCACAGTACGTATGTATCAAGTCAAAACATTCTACACCTTAAACTTACGTAATAATGTATGTCAATTAGATCTCAATAAAGCTGGAAAAAAAGTGTTCTGCTGGTTAAGTCACCATTAGACTGTTGTTTACTTGCTGCTGAAAGCACTCCTAAGGGAAAGCACTATCCATGAGCAACTCAGGCCATCCCAAATATTTGTCTTTTTGCTCACCTCTCACATACCCTGCAGTGACATACTGATTGAACTTTAAAACGCTCTGGAGGGCGTCTGCCAGCATCTGTGTCGGCACACCTGTGCTGGGTCACAACAATGGCTGCCAGCAGTGTCTTGGTCTCTGGAGAGGTCTCACCTCTCACTGAGATGCACCCAGAGCCTTCTGGGTGGATATCTAATCATACCAGCTCATATGCTGAAGACTATCCTTCCTCCATTGAATTGCCTTTGCACCTTGGTCAAAAATCAGTTGTCTAAATATGCGTGAGTTTATTTCTGAACTCCCTATTCTCATCAGTTGATTGTCTTGATGCCAAAACCACATGGTCTTTATTATTATAGCTTTATAATAAGTCAAAGTCAAATACTGCAAGTCCTTCAACTGTGTTCTCCTTTTTCAGGTTCGTTTTGGCTGTTTTAGGTCCCTTGCATTTCCATGTGAATTATACTTGTCAATTTTCACTAAAAAGCCTACTAGAATTTTGATTAGGATAGCACTGATCTATAGATCAATTTGGGGAGAATTGACTCCTTAAAAATATATAGTTCTTTGATCTATAAACATATCTCTCCGTTTATCTGGGTCATATTTATTTTATCTCAGCAATGTTTTATAGTTTTCAATGTACAGAGCTTGTACATCTTTCATCAAATTTATCCTGAAGTTTATTTTTTGATGCTATTGAAATGGTATTTTTAAAAATTTTAATTTGACTGCTCATTGAACACAGAAATAGAATTGATTTTGTTTTCTGCAACATTGTTAAACTCACTTCTTAGTTCCAGTAGATTTTTTTTTTGTAGATTCCGTGGGGTTTTCTGTATAAATGATCATGTCATCTGTGAATAAAGACAGTTTTATTTCTTCCTTTCCAAAAAAAAACACTGGAACCTATAGGTTGGACCAAAGCAAGAGACTGCGCTTAAATTTTATTTTTCTTGGGTTGCACTCTTTTTTCCTCCACAATATGGATAAGAACTTAAGCTTAAAATTCAAGTTCGGAGAAAGTTCTTATGGTTTTGGATTTACAAATTCATCACGGTTGTGAGTCTACCATCTTGAACGAGGTATTACCTATTTGTTTCACTTGACTTGGGCAACAGTGATACCAAAAGGTTCCGTTTGTTGAGCCTTTGCTCTTCCCCAGGCACTCTGCTAATTAGTATGTGAACATAAAAAAGATCTAAATGGAAATAGATTTAAATAACTACGGTTACAAAGCAACATAATTGCTGTTGCTGTAAATGTTAAAGAAAAGCTATATAGTTGAAAGTAATAACTTATGAAATATATCAGGAATGTAGAAGATACCCAAACGACTGAAGATGGGAGAGGGAAGGAAGCAATATCAATGTTCTTAAATATAAGTTCGATTATTATTTAAGAATTTGAAGGCAATCACCTGTGGGACTAAAAGTAAATACAAAGAGGAATCAAAAGCAATCCGTTAAATGATACGACGGCAACAAGGCTCGATGATTCTCTCGTTACAGATTTCAATGGTGTAAACTCACACATTAAGAGCACTTTTCAACTCCATCAGAAATTGATGCCAACCATACACTTCCAGAAGAGAAAGAGGATTGGCAACAATGTGCTAGGCAGATGCAAACAAAAAGCAGAGGGCACAATAATATTATCAAAGGTGAATTCAATGTTTATTAATTGGGTCAAAAGTCATTTTTTTGGTCATCAATGGTGTAAGCGTTGAAGACGTAAAGCAAAGACTTGAGAAGTGTGATCAACAAAATCACATTATTTGGTAAT